TCCCCTGCTCTCTGGCCCGACCGGTGCCAGCGACAATGCTAGGACCACTGTTGCTTCCACTTTGGGTCCGGAATGAAGGGGGAGGGGTTGAGGAAAGCAGGGCCACTGAGGGCTTCGGGCCTCGGCTGGCGACTCTGGGCTGCTGGAGAGCCGGGCGGGATGTTGGAGCTCGACCGTCTCCCCGTCCTGCACGAGCACAGAGGCGGTGGCAGAGGGCTCCGGTTCTGGCCACCCTGTCTGCTAGCCGTGGGACTCTGTTTGACATTTCTGGAGCACCTACTGTGTGCCAGGCGCTGTGGTGGGCCCCGCAGACTCGGGTGAACTGGAAGACTCGGTCCTGCCTCGGCGGACCATGCGGTGCACCCGCTGGGCCATCATCACATGGACACACAGGTCATTCGCCTCGTGCACAGCTGCGCAAGGCGCCACTGAGGCCCGGTCCGGGGACAGGGTGCTGTGAGTGTGTGTACTGGAGCGTGACTGGGTCTGGGGTGGCCAGAGGGGGCTTCTCGAAGGGAGGTGCACTGGAGCCGGGAACGAAAGGGTGAGCGGGAGTCGGCTGGGTAAGGAGGAGGGAAAGAGTGGGGCAGAGCAGAAGAAATAGCCAGATGAAGGCCCTGAGCCAGAAGGGGACTTAACCTTCCCCAGCCTCAGTTTCCCCATCTGTGAAATGGACATAACAGTCCTCATCTCCCAGGCTTGTTGGGACGATTCGGTGAAATCTTGCCTGGAAAGTGCGCAGCCCGGTGCCCGGCTTTCAGTAGGTCCCTAATGGTAGCTGATGTTCACAGCAGAGACTGCTGGAAAGGCAGACACTATGGTAGACCCCTCCCAAACTTCTGGGGGTCCCCAGAGGCCATCTAGTGCAGTGGTTCTCACCAGGAGTGGTTCTGCCCCTGTCTGGAGACACCTTTGGATGTCATAACTTGGGAGAGGGGGGCTACTGGGATCCCGTGGGTGGAGGCCAGGAATGCTGCTCAACACCCTCCAGTGCACGGGACGGCCCCATCGCCAAGAGCCATCCAGCCCCACATGTCCGTGGTGCCGGGTGAAGAAACCTCTATCTGGTCTAGGCCGCTTTTTCAGGCAGGGAAACTGAGGGGCGTTGCAGGGAAGGGGCCTGCTGGGGGTCCCTCTCACAGCGAGGCAGGCCGGGGCCAGGACTGGAGCACAGGGCCCGCGTCTCCGGGCAGGCACCAGCGCAGGTTTCCTGGTGGCAGCCTGTCTGAAGGAGGGGGGCCGCCCGGGAGGAGAGGGAGGAGCCCGGGCCTGTGGGAACCTGAGGCCTGGGCCCGGGTGGGGGATGGAGTCACGCTCTCCGTCATCCTGGGGCCGGAATTCCTGGGCATGAACTTCATCATGAGGCGGCAGCTCCCTGGGGTGCTTGCAGTGGGGAGGGGGTGTGTGCCTGGTGGGGGGTGTCCTGACTCAGCCGACCAGTGGGGGCCACACCTCAGGACTGGACCATGGTATGAGGTCCTGGCCTCGGAGCTGTGATGACTCGCAGGGCGAATTAGAGGCCTGGGGGCAACTGGGGTGTCTGGGACAGCTCAGACCGCCCCTTCTCTCTGCTCCAGCCAGGCAGGGTGCCCCCCCGAGGATGAACAATGGGGTTATGTAATGTTTGGGCAGCAGGCACTTGCCCGTGCCTTTTCGTGGAGGCGGTGCAGCCTGGCTTGCCGGAAGGGCAGGCGGGGTGGGAGCCTGGGAGGCAGGAGCCCTGGGTCTAAGGCTTGTTTCTGCCGCTGACTTGCTGTGTGACCTTGGGCCAGTCTGTCTCCCTCTCTGGGCCCCCAGGTCCCCACCAGTCCACGGAGGGGTGGGAGCACATCAGTGGTTCTCTTAACCATCCCCGCGGAGCTCTTGGGTTCTGGTCCTCAGGGCTCAGGAGGAAGTCACCGGACACCTGGGCTTCCGCTTTCTCTGTCCCTGCCTGGCAGTTTGTGTGCTCATTCATTCATTCAGCTCATTCATTGAGCTCACTGGACAAACATTTACTGAGCCCGCATATGGGCCAGGCATCGGGGCGCCGTGGTGTGAGGGAGCTCACAGTCTGTTGGGGGACACAGCCTGGAGGCAGATATGATACAGTGTGGTCCATGCTGTGCTGGGGACCCCCAAGGGGTGCGAGAGCAGAGGAGCAGGGCAGCCTTTGGGGCCCTGGGGGGACTTCCTGGAGGAAGCGACACCTAAGCTGGGACCTGGTAGGTGAGTGGATTAGCCAGGTAAAGAAGAGGAGGCCGTGTTTTGCAGGTGAGGGACCTGCAGGTACAAAGGCCTGAGGCTGGAGATGGCATGGCAAGCTCTAGAAAGTGTGGCTGGGTGTGGAATAAGGCGGGGGAGAGGGGGCTGGGCCGTTGAGCTGGGGCTCCCCTTAATCGATCGGGCATTGCCCTGTGGGGGCTTCTTCCTGGGGCCCTGCTAATCGATGACGTGACAGCCTCTGCAGGGGTAACCAGACAGGCGCCCGGAAGGCTCCCCGCTGAGGCCGGCCTCCCTGCACACACCTGCCCCGCACTGACGCTGCGGGGCCCCCACGCCGGCCCACCGCAGCTGCTCCCAGCGCTGACGGCCCCCTCTGCTGCTCCTCGGAGCACGCCTTCCCCTCTGGGGAGCCGGCCCTGTGAGCCACCCACAGGGACCCGTCCAGGAGAGGCCTTTGGGCGCCTTTTGTGTTCTCTTTATTGTGTTTAATAATCTTTTAGAATTACTCAAGTGACACAAGTCCATTGTGGAGAAATGGGAAGCTCAGAGAGAGCCCGAGGGGAAGGAATGGCCCCTTCCCGGCACCCAGAGCCGTCTGGTGACAGTGGGATGTGCCCAGACATGGATCATCAAGTCCCGGTGCCAGGCCTGTCCCCTTCTCTTGCCCAGGGACCCGTCCTGGCCAGGGAGTTGGGGTCACAGACCAGGTCTTGTCTCCAAAACGCTCCTTCTCCCTGGCTCTGCGTCCTGGCCCAGGTGTGAAGATTTGAGCCCGGAGCCACTGGGAAGGAGGCTCTAAGGGGAGAGAGCTGGAGGGGCCGAGTCCCTTCCTGGTACCTGCTGTGGGAGGGCACCCAAGCCCTGTGCCTCAGTGCCTCCGTCCACGAAATGGGCTCCCTGAACCCACCACCAAGGACTGAGGTGGCGACCACGTGAGGCACCGTCTGTGAGGCTGAGCTCAGTGCCCAGCAGGGGCTGTTGTCACAGGTCCAGGAGGAGGGTGAGACGGGGCAGTGACCCCGGTTACGGAGCTGGGACCCGCCTCCCTGGGCCTCTGGCCCCTTGAGGTGCCCTGTGGGGTTGGGGAGGGGTGCGGAGGCCTAGCCTCTTTTATGACCTCACACTTGCTGTAGGCACTGTCATGACAGTGGGTGCCCCCTCCAGCCCGACCCCAGGAGGGAAGCTCCACCCCACTCCATCGTCTCTGCTCTCCTCCCAGCCTCTCCCTCACCCCTAGGGAACAGCTGATGTGTTAGCAAGAGTCTTGTTTTCTTGTTGACTTCTGACTTCCATCTTTTGGGGCGCAGAATTCCCAAGGTTCCCTCCTTCGGGGGCCTTTCAGGTCCTCGTGCATCCAGCGCCCATCCCAGGCCCTAGATTGTTCTCCAGTGGGTAGGGGGACAGTGGCTTCTCCACATGCTCCCTCCATGTATGGACCCCAGTCATGGCGCCACCAGCAGCCTCAAGTGCGATGCTCCCAGAATCCTCTCCTTGGCTGTGAGAGGAGAGCGGGATCTTCACGTGGGTCTCGTTAGGACCCAGCACAGCAGGGCAGGCGTGAAGTCTTCAGTGACCCCGTGTCTCTGAGCATCTGGCCCCTGTGGCGTTGACCTTGGAGCCCCACCTCAGCTCCGGTCTGGGCTGCGAGGACTCGCAGATCTTCCCCTCTCTGAGCCTCCGTTTCTGCGTCCTTAAAGGGGGCTTTCTCACAGTCCCTTGCTCATCGGGCTGTTACGGGCATTCCAGGAGAATGAGGTTTGCAGAGTCCCCGGCAGAGAGTGGCCCAGCGAGGGTCATAGCTGCAGCTGGTAACAGCCCATCGCTCTCTCTAGCTTCCCTCTGCTGGGACTCCTCAGGGATGTACGTCCCAGTTGGAGTTGCTAAGCTACACACAGGAGCCAACTCGTGAATTGGTTTAAAACAGCACATTTGAGTTCATAATACTAAAGATCATGCTACTGATTATTTTTTAAGTCCAGCCCTGTGCCAAGTATGCTACATCATCCTCCCACCCAATCCTGACAAGATGGGTGATAACCGTCCCTTTTTATAAATGAGGAGACTGAGGCTCAGAGAGGTGAAAGATCTTGCCTGAGCTTTGCACAGCTAGCAAATGGCAGAACCACGATTTGGACTGCAAAGCCATGCTGCCATCAGCTGGCTGGGTGTCTGGAGGGTGCTGTGTGGGCGCTGGGGGTGGAGGGTGGACAAGGCCCGTTGGAACAAACCGGGGTGCCCTCCAAGCTTGCTGCGCTGTTCCTGCGTCTGTTTACACAGTACCCTGGAACAGAGGCCGGGAGAGGGGGGTGTGTGCATAGTGGGGGGTGCAGGCGTGTGGGAGGAGCCAGCTGCCGGCCCCATATGGTGGCTCTGCCCACCAGCACCACCAGCCTGCCCGGCTCTGTGGTGCCAGGAGGGGCTCAGGGGAGAAGGTGGTGGAGGTGGGAGTGCCTTGTGCTAGAGCACGGCTTGGGGGGTTGTCGGTGTGAGTTTTTTTTTAGCCCCCCCTGTGCAGAGCACGGGGCTGAGTGGCCAAGTGCTCTGTGCACAGTGTCTGGGTTCATTCTCATGGCGACTCTCATCCGCCTTGTACAGAAGAGGCTCAGAGAGGTGCGGTCACCTGTCCTGGGCCACACAGCTAGCGAGAGGCAGAAGTGGGATGAGCCCACGACCCCTGTGTGGCCCTGTCTCTCTGGACGGGGATTCACCGCCTTCCGGGGCGCTGGACAGGATCCCGGCAGGTGGGTGATGTTGGCGTCTCTTTCCCGCTCTCTCGCCTGGTCTGCTACCTCCAGGTACAAGGGCTTCATCAAGGACTGCCCCAGCGGGCAGCTGGACGCGGCCGGCTTCCAGAAGATCTATAAGCAGTTCTTCCCATTTGGAGACCCCACCAAGTTTGCCACGTTTGTTTTCAACGTCTTTGATGAAAACAAGGTGAGCTGGGGATGGACGGGGCCTGCGCCAGCCCAGTCCCCTCCCTCCTGCAGCAGCCTGCTCGGCTCCCGCGGCACCGCAGTGTCTCCACACCCACTCTCTCCTGCTGACGTTCCCTGTTGGAGAAGGAACGCACGCACGTGTGCACGCTCATGCACACATACAGACAGAAATGCATGCACCTGTGCACAAGCACGAACACGCACACAACCCACACGTGCAAAAATGCATGCATACACACATACATGCACAAAAGTGCATGCACTCGCACGTGCACACACATGTACCGCACAGATATGTGTGCACACATATATGCACACATGCACACGTGTGTATAGCTTGACCTTTTTCTTACAAGCACAAAATGCAGATGCCTCCAGGGATAACAGCAGGATTTATAGTCATAACCGTCATTTACTGAACATTTACTGTGTGCTGAGCCCTTTACGGGGATTCTCTTTAGTGAAGCTTTACACCAGCCACCTGTGGGGTATGTCCTTTTAATACCCCCGTTTTGCAGACGAGGAAACTGAGGCTCTGAGCACCGTATAGTAGGGGATCTTTTGTGCCCCGCTTCTTTCACTGAGCGTCATGTTTTCAAGGCTCATCTGTGTTGTAGCCTGTGTCCCCTCCTGGCGATGGCCGTGCTGACAGTTGGCACATCCACTGTTGCGGCGTCCACAGTCCTCTGGGCTCTGTCCCATGCCCACATTGTTCCTGGCTCCCCGTATTCATGGTGCACTTACTGTGGCTTGTTTCCACACCTCGTGCTGTTGGGCCTTCGGGTGGTTTCTGTTCTGTCATGCCCTGGCTTTCTCCCCGGGGGTCCCCAGGCTGAAGTCACACTGCCTGGCCCTGGGAAGAGCTCTGCCTTCTCCTGACCTCAGTTTCCTTGTTTGCAAAACAAGTAGGTAGGATGGAACCATCTAGAGCCCTGCCCTCTTGCAAGGCCGCTGAGCCTGTGGTTCGAGGCCAAGGGGAAGGGGATTCCGGGCGGCTCTGGCCCAGAGAGGGGGTGTGTGTGTCGGTGGTGCCTTCTGGCTCTTTCTCCCATCAGATCTGGAGTCAGGCTCTCCCTTAGCCTCACCCCTTCTTCCTGTCTCTCCTGCCCAGCCTGTCCCCTTTCCCACCCTACTTCCTCCCCTCCCTCTTCCTTCTCCTGTCCCTCGTCCACTTGGGTGGCCTTGGCCGTGGAGACCTGGTGCCTCCCGCTGCCCATCACCACCCGCCCAAGGTCCGGCCTGACCAGGTGGCCTGGCGCTGACCGAGGCCACCCTGCCCCTCTCTCCTGTCAGGACGGGCGGATTGAGTTCTCCGAGTTCATCCAGGCGCTGTCGGTGACCTCGCGGGGAACCCTGGACGAGAAGCTGCGGTGTAAGTCCTGCCCCGGGGCTCTGTCAGGCGGCTGCTGGGTGGTCCCAGGCCGGAGGGGGGCCAGATGACGGGGCCAGGTCGACCGTCCAGGGCTGAGAGAGCGGCACGGGCGTCCTGCCTTTCCAGGTCGGAGGAGGTTTCCTGGAGGTGGCCATGCAGGAGGAACGTGGCTTAATTAGGCGGGGTGGACAGATGGCGCGGAAGCCGGGGGGCATTCCGGCAGGTGCAGACAAGGGACCGCGGGCAGTGCAGTGTGCAGTTAAAGGACTGGCTCCCATGCTGCATCCACCACTTAGGTGGCCGCTGTTTTGATGACTGATGTCATTCATTCAGTCATTCACTCGTTCACCCAACAGATATTGACCGAACACGGCCACATATCAGTGCTGGGCAGTACACCAGGAGTCCAGGGGTGAATCAGACAGACGGGCACCTGCTCTCGTGACCATCAGTCTAGCACTGGGACGGTATTTTAAAAAACCCCATAAAACCATAACCGAGGCAGGAGGAGGGAGGTGTGAGCCGAGAGGAGAGGAGCTGACCCTGTTAGGAGTCAGGAGTGAGCGGGGCAGGGTGAGAGCTGTGAGAGCTGGAGGGGGAGGAGGAGGGGAGAGGGTCCCGGGCAGGGGAACAGCAGGGAATCTGGAGAGAAGAGCTGGGAGGCAAACAGCTGGGCCAGGACTCTACTCGCTAAGACGTTCACACTGCCTCACGTCGGCACCGAGAAAACCTGGCAGTTCCTTTTTCTTTTCTTTCTTTCTTTCTTTTAAGAATAAAAGAGAGGATTTTATTCATGCAAAAGCTCCCTCCTCCCCGCCAGGCATATTGTGTTATTTTCTAGGTTGTCCACAGCGGGGAAGGGGAGCGGGGCGTGGGGAAGGAGGCTCCTCCTGGGCCAGAATCCTCCCTCCCTCAGCGCCAGCCTCTGAGGCCTCTGCGCTCTCAGACGCACTGCCCCTTCTTTTTACTTTTAGTTTCTTTTCTTGAAACCCTAGTTGAAATGGTGCGTGTGTCTGTGTTGTGTGTGTGTCTCTCCATGTCTGTCCCTGTATAAATATGCATTGACTGGACTAGTAATGGGGCTGTGGGTCCCCACCGTGTGTTGCGGTGCAGAGGGAGAAGGGGGTGTGGCAGAGCCTCCCTGCCTTGGGCCGGGGTGACAGCCCTGGCTGGTTGATTGCAGGGGCCTTCAAGCTCTATGACTTGGATAACGACGGCTATATCACCAGGAACGAGATGCTGGATATCGTGGATGCCATTTACCAGATGGTGGTGAGAGGCCCGGGTCCTGTGGGCTGGGGCGTGGTAGGAGGGGCATCAAATTGAGTGACCGGGTCTGGCCCAGAGGAACCACCCCCGTGTGACTGCTCTCTTGCCTGGGGGAAGAGTTGGCCAGGGGTCACTGCCTGCGGTCACTCTGCACATCTACACCTTGGGGGGCAGGTGGGGGCTGGGGTGGGTGGGATGTTCCAGAGCAGAATGGCAGAGATGGTGAGGGCGTTGTGGGGAGTCGGCAGTCCTCATCTGGAACCAGCCCAGGTCCGGGGGGCGAATTTTTGGGCAAAGCACCCAAAGCCTGGCTGGCCAGGACCCCAGCCCCTACCTTGTCATTTTGCTGGCAGGGGAACACCGTGGAGCTCCCCGAAGAGGAGAACACCCCCGAGAAGAGGGTGGACAGGATCTTCGCCATGATGGACAAGGTGAGACAGAGTGAGGCTGGACCTTGACCAGGGAGGTGAGGTGTAGGGGCCCGGCCTCAGGCCCCAGTGGGCAGAGAGTAGACACACCTCCCATAGGTGCCACCGACCACCTATGGGCCTGGCTCTAGGCAGACGGCACAGCCTGGTGTCGTGTCCACTGGTCCGGTCAGCAGCCGTCCCCATCAAGCATCCAGAGTGTTAAGTAAGTCTGCCCAACACTTTTTATTTTATCAGCTAAGATTCTTAACCTTTTAAATTTTTTGCCATGGGCCCCTTTGGCATTCTGGAGAAGTTGTCTGTGGACTTCTCAGAATCATAGCTTTAGGTGTATCAAATAAAATCCCTAAGGTCAAAAAGGAAGCTCATTATTTTGGAATACAGCTTTTAAAATATTTTTCGAAAAGAACTTGTGATGTAGGATAAATGAGCTTCTTCATTAACATGTGAAATAATCAGAAGCCGCGGTGGGTCTGACCCCCCCGTACCTTCCAAGTGGTGACCCGCACACGCCATGCCTGCAGCGGCCGTGATGTTACGAGCACGCCCGCGATCCCCACGGTTGACGGAGTCACCGGTACTGCTGGTTCTGTTGGGGATCGTCACTTAGATTCATCATGGAAGGAAGAGCTAAATTCCAGGTAGAAGTTAGCGAAGAGAAAGACCTCATTATTTTCCCATCTAAGTTTACAGACCTGCTGAATTCTCTCCATAGACCCCAGGATAAGAAACTCTTCTTGAAATCAAACCTTTTTATTTTTAACCTGAAGTAACTTTGTTTTAAATGGGAATTTGATATCAGGATGGTAAGGAAACCCATTGCTTGCCTTAAATAAAGCAATACAAATTATAGTGACGTCAGGCTTATTACATTCTGGCTGGATACCCGGGCTTGTCCTGAAAGCATTGAGCCTGAGGCCTGAACTTTCTTACTTAAAACAGGGAGATTAGCACATGTCAGAGACAGGGAAGACATGTGGGCTCAGACTGCACTGGTCTCTCGGTAACAATCTAAAGACGTGTTGACAGAGTGTGCAGCAAGGAGACTAACTTCCTCGCAGGCTGGTTCAATGTTATTCAATGCCAAGGCCACACACTCCTTCAGTGCCCCGCTTCATACCTTCCTTATTTAGGGAAAGAAAGCCCACCCTGGAGTCAGACTGGGTGTAAATTCTGGCTTCCCCAGTTACCAGCCATGGGCCCCTGGGTGTGTGACGAGCCTCAGTTTCCCCCCTGAGCAGCGCCTCTTCTTAAGGCAGCTGTGAGCATCCCAGGAGATAAGCGTGTGTGTGGGGGACACAGTGGGCAATCCTCGGGGACGGCCTGCTGTGCTTGTCGGAACCCTCGTCATGCCTTCCCTCTCTGGGTGCAGGAGGTGGGCTGGTGGTCTCCAAGGCCTTTTTCTTTTGCTCTCACAGGTTTCCTTGAGAGATGCTCCAGGGGAAGGGATTCTGGCCCAAACCATCCCCTCTTCCAAGAGACCCACTAAAGTCCCTTTGTGTGAGCTCCTGCCAGGGTCCTCCCAGGGTCCAGTGTAGACTGTTCTGGGAATGGTTTAAATGCCCTTCCAAGAGTGACCCCAGAGAAATGCAGTAGGCTCTCAGCTGCTTGGGACTAACCACCATTTATGGGAATTAATAGCAGTGATAATGGTAACTATGGAGTTATGGGGGGCTTCTGGGTGGCTGAGCACTTTATGCAGCTTGAGCTCATGGAGCGTACACCCCAGTGCCCCAAGGAAGCCATGCACTTATCTCTAGTCCCCAGGTGAGGAAATGAGCCCAGAGACGTGAGTCACATGCCCAAGGTCACCCAGCCAGGAAGTGCCCAGGTCTGTCTAGTGCCTGAGTTCTCTTACCCAGTGAGCTGCATTGCCTCCCTCCTGACCTCACTTGGGGAGCTCTCTTGGGACCAGCCCTGGTTCCAAGGGAGGGGTGTCCAGGGTCCGGGTCAGAGGCCCCTGTCCTAGGAGGCTAGTTATCCCTCTGCCTTCAGCTGCCTCTCTCTGCTTACAGAATGCCGACGGGAAGCTGACGCTGCAGGAGTTCCAGGAGGGGTCCAAGGCAGACCCCTCCATCGTGCAGGCGCTATCCCTCTACGACGGGCTGGTATAGTCCAGGGCCCAGAGCTGGGGTGAGTGGAGGGGACTTGGGGCCTGGGGTGGGGGACGGGGGAAGCCCCGCCACAGGACACGTGGCGTTGGCAGATAAGTACCTGGGTTTCCTGGGGGCACTTAGGGTCTGCCCAGTGGGGGGCATAGCTGGTATGGGGAGGCCCGGGAGGCAGGGCTTTCAAATCAGCCAGAGCCCCTCTCTTGTTGTCATTTTTATACACCCAGATTCATCCTGAGGGTTTGGTTGAATAGAAGTTTCCCTGGATTGAAAACACCTAGAACATTGAGAACACTTAGTTCTCAGCCTGGACCAGGGGCTGGGGAGAGCGGGGGCTTCTCATCCCTTCTCTGGGTGGCCAGTCGAAGACCTAAGCTCCTGCTCTCTTGATCAGCTCAAATGCAGTTTCTTGTTCCATCCTAGGATTTGCAGTAAGAGCAGGCTGGTAGCATGCCCACAGGGGCCTCTGTTGCTGGTAGAGAACTGTCATCCTTTTTCCTTTCTCATCCTCTTCTCCCTCTGCCCTGCCTCTTCTCTGTTCTGTCCTCTGTGTTGGCTGGGAGGAAGGGAGTGAATGACCCCCAAGGCCCTGTCCAGCTAGGCACACTCTTGTGCATGACTTCTGGTGGACAGATGATCATTCTGTTGGAATTTGTCTAAGAGTAGAATTGCCATGACACAGGATATGTGTATGTTCAGCTTTAGTAGATACCACCAAACAGTCTTCCAACACGGTTGTACCGTTCCGTACTTCCTCTAGTATAGTATGAGAGTTCCACTTGCTCCACATTCTTGCCAACCTTGGATAGTCTCTCTTTTTAATTTTAGCTGTTTTGGTGGGTGTGTAGTGATAGCTGGTTGTAATTTTAATTTGCGTTTTCTCTGATGAGCACTGAAGTTGGCATCTTGGCATGTTTGTCCCATCCATTTTAATATCTCCTTTTGTGAAGTGCTGTCTTAGTTTCTGTTGCTGTGTCCTACGTTACCACGAAACAGCAGCTGAAAAGAACAAGCTTGAGGAATTCCAGCACAACTTAGCTGGGTGCCTTTGGCTCAAGGTCTCTTGTGAGGATGCAGTCAAGCTGTCAGTAGGGTGACCAGCCATCCCAGTGTGCCCAGGACTGTCCCACATTTAGTACTGAAAGTCCCACGTCCTGGGAAACCCCTCCATCTCAGGTAAACTGGGATAATCACCAGCTGTTGGTCAGGGCTGCAGTCTCATCTGAAGGCTTGGCTGGGGGTGATCTGCTTCTAAGCTCACTTGTTTGGTTTGGTAGCCTCGATCCCTCGCCATGTGGACCACTGCACAGGGCTGCCTAACAACGTGGCTCCCCTGAGAGTGAGCTTTCCAGGAGGGAGGAGTGTGAGAACTCAAGATGAAAGCCACAGCCTTTTTATAACCTAACCTTGAAGTGACGTCCCATTGCTTCTTTTTCCAGAAGGCCTTGGTTACTTTGGCATTTCTATATAAATTTTAGAATCAACTTATAAATGTCTACACATACACAAGCTGGGGTTTTGATTGAATTGAGCTGAATCTACAGTTCAATTTGGGGGAGAATTGGCATCTTTAAATGTTGAGTGTTCCAATCCATGAAAATAGTATATTTCTGTATATTTAAGTCTTTTATTTTATCGTTTTCAGATGAAAGGTCTTTCACATTTTTTGATAGCTTTAGTCCTAGAAATTTGATATTTTTGATGGTATTATAAATGGTAATTTTAAAATCATAGTTTCCATTTATTTCTGGTTTATTGAAATTCAATTGGTTTTTGTTTATTGATCGCATATCCATGATCCTGCTACATTCATTTGTTAAATCTAAGAGTCTGCCTTAGATTTTTTTGGATTGTCTACATTTTATTCCTCCTTTTCCTATCCTTCTGCCATTTGTGTCTTTTTCCTACTTCCTTGCACTGGTTGGGCCCTCTAGTGTAATACCCCGTAGAAGTAGTGAAGGTGAGCATTCTTGTCTCTCTCTCGGTCTTGGGGGAAAGCTTTCAATAATTTACCATTAATTAGGATGTTTGTTGTAAATGTTTTGTAGATAGATTTTATCAGATTTAGGAGTTTCCTTTTTTTCTAGTTTGCTAGGAGTTATTTGTTTAAAAAAACTGTGAATGGTGTTGAATTTTATTAAATTGTTTTTCTGCATCTATCAAGATGCTCTTATGACTTTTATCCCTTTTTTGTTGTTAGTATGGTGAATTACACTGATTTTTGAATATTAAGCCACCCTTGCATTCTTAGAATAAACTCCACTTAGCCATAATGTGTTGTGCTTTTTATGTATCATCAGATTTGACTTGCTGATATTTTGTTTAGGAGGCCTACACTGTTTTGAAGCTTCTATTATTATTATTATTTTACACAAGAAATCTTTTTTCATTGAAGAGACATTAGAATACGTTTAAAAAGAAAACCTCAATAAAAAATCTTATTTTTTAAAAACCTTCATATATAACCCAGATATAACCACTGTGAACATTTTGTGCCCAGAGCAATTCAGAAAGAATTGAATACTTACAAGAACTTAATACTCAGTAACTAGGTCACATAGAAACATATAATCAAATCAATTTGTAAGGAACCATCACAGTTATTTCTATAGTCGTAGAAACACTCGGTATGCAGCTCTGGGTCCCATGGTGCATACTGATCATTGTCGAATTTTTCTGAGTCTCCTTTTGTGAATTACCGCCAGTGGCCTCAGGGGCAGCCGTCACATGACATGCTGTTTTGTTTCCTCCAGGCCGTGGAAAAAGCAGTACAAACACAGGTTCTTGATGTATCTCCTCAACGAAAAGTCGGACAGTGTAATTAATTTCTTGAAAGCGTGCAATTATTTTTGAATCACCCTATTTGTTTTTGTCTCACAGTTTCCTATGAATATATATGTCTCTATATTTCCTTGGCAACAATGAGTTCCTAACCATATGCTGTTGGCTGTTGTTTTTTTTTAAATGAACAACTTACAGGAAACATTTACTGTTTCTTTTGGAGACGTGACACTAAGAAAAGATTTTTGTGTTTTACCCAACGTGGCCTAAAGTTCATATCCTGTTGTGTCCACGCTGGCTTTCCTTAACACGATTTGTGTAGACATATACCTTACCCTCACCAGCGATATGTCAGCCAGGAAGGTGTAACTTTATTTTTACAACAAGCTTTTCAGAGTGAGAAGATCCACCTGTCTATAGCTCTTCCTGAAGATCGCCCTCCTCTTTTCCTCAGACTGGTCCCAGAACCTACTCGATAGTAATTATATCCAACCTGTGTTCATCATTTTTGTGATTTATTTGCCTTCTCAGATTCCTGCAGTATCACAATTCTTAGATAAATTACCATTATATAATCACTGCATTATTCAGGAACTGAGATCGTGCATGTTTTCTACATTGGTCAATGTTGTCTGAGACTATCATTTTTAATAGCTGCATAGTATTCCAGTCTATAGCTGGGTCGTAATTTAACCAGTCTGACAGCGTGGGACGCTTAGATTGTTGGAAATTTGGGGGCAGATTTAAAAAAAGGTTTACTATTCACAGGCAACGGTAGAGAGAATGGTGTAACTCCATGTTCCATCACCCAGCTTCAGAATCACCAATTCATGGCCAGTCTTGGACCATCTAGACCCTCCCCCACGAGGTTATTGTGAAGCAAATTCAAGATGTCATATCATTTCACACATAAACATTTCAAAACGTATTTCTAAAAGGTAATGATTCTTTAAATAATCCATAATGCCAAAAAATCAATAATAATTCCTTACTACCCTCCAATCTGCAGTTGGTATTCCAGTGTCCTTTTTCTCACAGCTTTTTTTCACAATTTTTTATTTATTGGAATCAGAATCGGAATAAAGGCCACATGTTGGAACCGGTTGATAGGTCTCTCCCTCTCTCTCTTTTGTGTTTTTGATGCATCTCTTAAGTTTGCTTTAATCTATAAGTTTCCCCCCTTCCCTTTTTTTCTTGCTATTTGTCGAGGAAGACACTCTGTGGTTGCCCACAGTCCGGGGTTTGCTGAGTGCGCCCGTGGTGGTGTTAACGTGCTCTGTTCCCTGCTCTTCCTGGAAGTGGGCAGTTCGGGCTACAGACAGGCTTGGCGTGCGGTATGATCCACTTTTGCAAGGACGCCTCGTGAGTGGGGCTGCGTGTCCACCAGGTGGCCCCTTGATGATCACCGCTTCGATTCATTCATTCATTCACTCGTTCATTCATTTATTAGGTGGTGCAAGATGGTGCCATTCTAAAGCTGTCTTTCCGTCTTCATTGTTGACTGGATTGCTTCTACAAAGGGACACTTCCCCTCATCAGCTGTTTGGTTACCCCGAGGCCTAGGTTTTAATAGGAAAGGCAAGATGGATCCTTAATTCTTTCTCTTTATTTATCAGTTTTCAAAATGAGTTGGATTTCTAACATCCTTTAGAGGTGACCAGTGAAATTTTTTAAATATGTATATAATTATGAATTGATGGATTTAGATGCATTTGATGAGTTTCATCTCGTTTGTGGTTTTAACCAGCAGATACAATACTGCAAATCATGAGCGTTCACAGATCACTGCGGAAGGCGAAGAATGTGGTTGGAAACTCAGCCCAGCCTCGCGGGGTTGGCACGGGGGATGGGAAGCCTGAGAGAACGCAGGCCTCTCCCTTGGGGTATTCTGCCTCTCTCCGGGCGACTGCTCCAGGCCCCTCTCTCCCTTCACACCTGCACCACAATGGCCACCCCAGCTCTGGTCCTGCGGGGCCTGCCTCCTCCTCCAGGGCCACCTCCACATCGCTTCTGATTGGCCCAGAGAATGTTTTCAAGTCATCTCATGCAGATCAGGGAAATGGCCCCCCTGGATCAGAACTTACACCTGTCCAATGCGGGGAGCAGGGCCATGCGATTTAAACAGGGGGAGGAGCAGGTTACGGGAAAGATCTGTGCATGACACAGACAGTAACAGACGTGACTGCTCCCCATGCTTCTGCTTTTCAAAAAACATTTATTGAAGTGAAATTCCCGTAACATAAAATTAACCACTTGAAAGTGAACAGTTCAGTGGCATTTGGTACGTTCACAATGTTGTGCAACCACCACCTCCAGCTAGTTCTGAAGCATTTGCATTTGCATCACTCCAGAACAGAGCTCCATACCCAGACCCCACACCCCTGCCAACCACAGTCTACTTTCTGTCTCTACAAATTTGTCTATTCTGGATGTTTCATATAAATGGAATCATAAATATGTGACCTTTTGCGACTGGCTCCTGTCACTTAGCATGTTTTCAAGGTTCATCCATGTTGTAGCACGTGTCAGGACTTCACCCCTGTTTATGGCTGAATAGTATTCCGTTGTATGGATGTACCACATCTTGTCTGTCCATTCATCCATCGACGGACACTTGGCTTGTTTCCACCTTTTGGTTATTGTGAGTGGGTGCTATGAGCATGGGTGTTCGTGGATTTCTTTGAGTACCTATTTTCAGTTCTTCTGGATACATACCTAGGAGTGGAATTGCTGGGTCACTGGTAATTCTATGTTTGACTTTTTGAGGAACCACCAAACTGTGCACAGCAGCTGCACCATTTTACATTCCCACCAGCAATGAACGAGGGTTCCAGTTTCTCCACACTCTCACCAACACTCGTTATTTTCCGGTTTTTTGATGACAGCCATCCTAGTGGGTGTGAAGTGGTATCTCGCTGTGGTTTTGATTTGCGTTTCTCTGATGACTGATTCTGTTGAGCATCTTCTCGTGTGCTTATTGGCCATTTCCTGCATTGTTCTTAAAGGTTGCAAACTATTTTATGTTATGCCTGTGTCCTCATTTTTCCAACCAGTCCCCTGAGAGTGGACACTGGGGTTGCACCCTCCCTTTTAATTTTGCTATTACAGATACTGTAGGAAACATCGCATTTATTTCTTAAGGATAAATACTCATCACTGAATGGGTGGATCAGAGGGTGAGCACATTTTTAGGACTTCTGTATAACGCCACCTTGGCCTCTCTTTGCTCCCCCCCACCTGCGCTACCTTTGTGTGCGTGTGTCCCTGGCAGCCAGCTCTGACCCCGCCTCACCTCCTCGTGTCTTCCAGATGCCTGAGAACCACTCACCTCCTCCCGTGCCGTGAGGCCACCTCAGCCCCGCCGCCACCCTCCTGTGTCCACCCAGCCTTTCTCCTCGTCCACACCCGGCCGGGCTGCCCTGGAACCCTGAGGCCCGGCCCTCCTCCCCCGGCCCCGCACCCACCCGCCGCCTAAGCCAGTGGCTCCAATTGTCAACAACCTCTGCTTGTCCGGAAAACAGCAGCGCGGATCGGAAAAGGCTGCAGCCCCAGCGAAACCAAGGACTCGGCTGCTTTGCCGGCGGCCTCTCGATTCCTCCTGCTCTCTTGTGCGTGTGCTTTCGTTTTTTATTTCAAACAGACATTGAAAAAGAGAAAAAAACTACCTTCTGTTGTAGAAGATACGGACTGACAGATGGGGAGGAGGCCTCGGGGACTCAGAGGACTCTGCCTCGTCCTTGGGCAGCTGGAGAGGCCATGGAAGTCACGGCCTGGCCACGGCGGGGCTCGGGGTGTCGGGGGGCCCGATGAACGTTATTGGTCCCCCATCCTCTAGCAGCAAAACCACCTGCGTGGCTAGGATGAGTAACTATGATGATGATGATTTTTTTGTGATAACAGTATTGTGCTTTTTGTGGGGAAAGTGAGGTTTTTTTTTATACATATATAATTGATATCTTTTATTTATTGGTGTTAACTGTTGCTGCTGCCTCTCGTGTCCACAGCTCCCAGGGATGCGGGGCCCACCGTTTACATGTGCACGCCCTTGCCCACCTGCCCAGTGCTTGGGAGGATGGTGGCCTGCAGCGGCCAAGAAGCCAAAAAACCTTTTTTTTCCCCAGATACTGTGCTCGATGTTTGGAGAGGGGAAAGGTGGGTTTCTTAAATGGCTAATGCACTGTTCCCTCCAGCCCGAATGCCTCCTCCTTGAACCCTTCTTCTCTGCTCCGTGTCCACACCTCCCGGACCTGTGTCCTCCCCTGGGTCCATAACATCTTTTCTGAGGACAACAGGGGGCATCTTCCGGTTTCTCAGCTTTTGCGTTGGTGTTTGCAGCCACATGGAGAATGGAGAGGCTTGTCCTGAGACTGGGAGCCAGGAAGGGGGATTGGGTACATAAGGAAAGAGGGAAGAGGGGGTCTTTGCAAGCAAGTGAGCAGAAGTGAAGGCTCCTTCTCCCTCCTTGGTGGCTTTGGAAAATAGTCTCTCATTCTCTCCCACTCTGCTTTTCTGCCTGTCTGTCTGCCTTGTCCAGTAGACTGCACAGCATCCTTCTTCCCTTCCTTCTCTTAGCTCAAATGCTGGGAGGGAGGGGAGGAGAGAAGGGCTACAGGCAGTCCCCTCTGGGTCGTGGCCCCTTCTCGGGGCTCTGGCCCACATGTGGTCACAGGAAGCTTCTAGCTCTGCCTGCCACTGAGATGGGGCAGCAGGGCAGTGCCATCAGAAAAGTCAGACAACCTTGGCCCCGAGGCCGGGAGCCTGAGGCTGGCCCTGTTCTGTGACTGTGGGCCACCCCCTGCCCTCTCTGGGCCCCAGCTACCCCAGCTGCAGAGCCAGAGGCTTGGGCTGGTTGATCTGAAGGCTCTTCCCTGCCGACACTGTATATCCTAAGCCTGGGTTTCCTGCAGTTTGCAACTCTGCGGTCTGTGGCTGTGTTTGCCAGACCCCGGCAGACACGGGGACTGTCTGAGTCACTATTTTGTCTCTTGGCACAAGTCTTCTTGGAGACGGCTGCCACTGGTCGTGGCGTGTGGGTCAGAGGTCACACCTCGTCCCTCCCTGCAGTGCTTTCTGGTCCCTTCTGCACTCGTGAGCCATCTTTTGGCCCAGAACTAGTCCTCACCAAGGGAAGGCTTCGGGGCTGAGAAGCAGCCTCCAAGACTATTTAGGGCCAGGCCTGAGTCCAGAATTCCTGCTGCTGCTTGGCAAGGTCAGCAGCCTGTCACCCCCCGCTCATCCACCCTCGGGGAGGAGAGTGGCCCTCGTTCCCGCTTTGACTTGCCCTTGGTCTCCGCTTCGCGCTTTCCCGGGAGGCCTGAGCTTCTGCTCGGTACCCTCCGCCAGAGAGCCGCTCTGCCAGTGTGGGGCTTGCATTTCCATTGCTGTCGGCTGGAGCCCTCAGCCAACCCCAGACTCTCCCTGCCTGCATGTAGCACACCCTGGGGCTGCACTCTGGCTCCACGATAAGCCCCCCAGGTCCTAAGGGGACAGGGAGCAGTAGTTCCATTTTCACAGGCGACTTTGAAGGCTGGGCTCCTTGAGGCCCCTGCGGTCACCTTCCTGCTCAGGCCACTGGCCCACGAGGCCCAGGACTCACTGTCAAATCCTGCAGTTCCTCTGCCCGGCTCTGACCTAGGTTCCTAGGGCAGGAGATGAACTTGGACATGGGGGTGGAGGGGAGGAGAGTGGGGCCTTTCCCAGGTCAGAGTGCTTCTCTGGCCTCTGCCTGAGCCTCGACTGGCCTCTCTGGTCCAGTGGGAAGGAGCTGTTGGGCAGCCCGACCTGGAGGCACCGTGAGAAGGGGACTGTGGCTGAGAGTTACCCGGGGTTAAGCATGTGGACCCGTCCAGCTTGGACATCTTGGACCGTCTCTGTACGAGGCTTTCCTCCCACCTTCGTGCCCTTTGGCCTTTGGTTTGGAGCCACAGGTGTGGCTTTTGGCCTCAGCTGGTGGTCCCGTGGACCCACGCCTCAGGCACAGCTCGGGTCCATGCCCCGAGAGCCGGAGCTGCCCGAAGGGCCTCCCTTCTTCCTGGCAGGGTGCTGGCCAGTGGCCACTTGTGCCCGAGGTTGCTGGACAGGGACAGCTCTGTCCCCTCCTCTCCCTGGGCCTCCAGCTGCAGCACCCTGGGAACCCTGAGCAGCCCGTGGCCTCTCTCCCCAGCACCGTTTTCCCCCCGAGGCACAGCCCCATCAAATGCTGCTCCCTGGGGATCCCAGACCAGCCGGAAGCCAGGCCCAGTCCCTCTGCCCATCCCGGCTCCCTGGGCCCAGGAGCAGGGTCCAGCCTCGGGCAGCACGTCCGCAGCGGCCCTGGCCTCATCCTCACGGCATCTGCTCCCCACTCTGTGTCGATGGCACTTAGGAGAATGTCACGAGTTTCCAGTATTTAACCAGGCAACGTTTAGAGTACGCACCCCCCTCTTCCTCTGAAATGCTTTTCAGCTCGACAGCCAACTTCCTAGACAACAGGTGCACCTGTGCTTTTGGGGACATTGTCTCTTCTTTATGTGGCATAGAGAGGTTGGGGTGCCTGGGTCCCTCGGGGAGAGGCAGCCTCTCCCTGGAGAAAGCCCCACTCACTGCCCGCCTAGCAGAAAGCTACCGGGTTCCCAGCTCAGCTGCAGCTTTTAAGGGATTCAACGGGACGTGGCAGCGCCCCCTGGTGGCGACAAGCTGCAAAGGCTTGGGGGCCTTAACCGGCCAAACAGGTGATTCCAGAGGGAGGCTGCAGGTGGGGAGGCGAGAAGGGGACTCTGACCTCCCCCAGGCCCTGAGCCTCCAGCCCCACGTTACTGGCAGCGTGTCTTCCAGACGCCCCTCCTCTAGATCTCCCCCAGCGATAGTAAGTAAGTGAATTAGCAGAAGGGCACTGCGATGGGAAGCCTTGCCCCCCTTTTTTAATATCTGCAGAATAAACGCAATGGTTGATTTTTGAATGAATAAAAGGCTTTTGTTGAATAAATAGCTGGTCCCATCTTCTGTCTTGGCATCTAAGCTCAGGCTCTGTGTGCTCTCCAGGACTGGACAAATGCCGACACCCCCCCCCCCCGCCGCCGCCTGTACATTTCTGTTTTCCCTGTGTCTTTGCAGTGGCCCCTGGCCCCAGGGAGGTCCACACACTCCCAATCTGACTCAGTGACCAGCTTTCTCCGGGCCTCTGGGCAAATCAGTTCTGCTCACTGGGACTCAGTTTCTCCATCTCTCAGATGGGAGCGAGAGTCTTGCTCAGCCCACCTCAAAGGGCGTTGTGGGGAGCGGAGAGGAACGTTGTCATCAACACAGCCTTCAGAGGTGAAAGGCTGGTGCGGGGCCTGAAATGTCTGGTGCCCCCACCCGGAGCCTGCAACTTTGGAAAGGAATTGGGGCAACTCTTATCAAAAAAAAAAAAAAAAAAGGCAATGCTTCCTGGCTGTGGTTGTTTTCTTTCTGTTTGCCTTCCCAGCCCCCTCAGAGCCTCTTTTTGGGGTGCCATCCTGTCTGAATCTGCTGGTGTGTGTCTCTGGGGGAGGGGCAGCCCCGGGCCCTGGTGGTGTGGGTAGGGGCGGGGCGAGGCCCGGGGGTGGACAGGGGACACGTGGCATGCCCAGGCCTCCTCTCATGCTCCTCTTGTATGTCGTCCATGTCACGCCAATTAAACACGCTTCCTGACTTGTCCTCGCCTCCCTTGTGTGGACCTGTTGCTTTGTCTGTTTCTGTTCTTTTTCGTTTCATTTTAGGTTTCTTCTTCCTCCAATGACACCCTTTCTCTTGCTTTGGGTGTCATCTGCCCAGTTTCCCCAAGGGCATGTGCAGAGTGAGATTAATGACTCTGAGATTAATGAGATTAATGCAGGCATAATGATTAAGCCAGAACGTTTCAAGGAGTGTTTCTGGGGGGCTGAGAGTTCAGCGGAGTGAGCCCCCACCCCATGTATCACACCTGGCATCTCCATTCCTGCCTGTTTCATCTACGGGAGTTCTCTAAAGGGTTTCCCTAAAGGTTTAAAAATGTTTGAAAACAATTGGCCTAGACTAGTGGTTCTCAGAGTCAAGTGTGTGTTAGAATCACGTGGAGGCTTAATGCCCAGATTGCCAGCCTCACCTCCCGAGTTGCTGATTAGTTAGGTCTGGGTGGGGCCTAAGAATTTGCATTTCTAACAAGTTCCCGGGCCAGGCTGATGCTGCTGGGCTGGAGACCCCACTTTGAGGACCCCTGGGAAGCTGTTTGCACTGCAGCACAGCCAGTTGGGTCCTAAGGAGGGGTCCCGCCACCATTCCCGGGCTTCGGGCTAATCATTCACCTGGACGTGACTCTTGTACCTGGGATGTGCCAGACACTGGGGATCCAGAGATCTGTGGCTTGCACCGTGGAGGGGTGCATGGGGAGGGGAGGTGGGTACATGAGTAGCTCCTCGGGGAGCTCTCGGAGTGGCACCCCGTGATTCGGCAGTTGGTGTGGCTGCCCTCTGCCGTCGTCCCCCTCAGCCTGGAACCTGGGATCTTGGAGGGGCCTCCTCTTTCCCCTCCAATGTTTGCTCAATATGCACGGCCCTGCCATATGCCGGGTGTGGGCGGAGGGGGCGGTCAGAGGAGGTGTCAGTCCTTGCTTTCTGGAGC